TTTTTTTTTTTTTTTTTTTTTTTTTTTTTTAATTTTTTATTATCAGCCTTTTACGCATAAAAATGTTTGAATCTCAATTGATTAGCGTACCTTTAGATTATGAAGGTTGAAATGTTTGAATTCCAGAAGCTCCTTCATCCTCTCATCAACTCACCTGGTTACTCATGATCACGAACATCTCAATTGCGAACCTGCCAACACAAAACCCTCCACAAATGACATAACACATTGATTCTAACATAAACTGCATAACAGACAACTGACTTCGGGAAACCTCCCAATTTAAACTGCAGTTCAATAGCATGGTGGTCATGTAAGAAGCTAAAATTACTGTGAGTGGACTTGGACGGCTACAAATGGTATCAAGGCTAGCTCCAAACGGGTACACACCAGATAATAAGGCTGGCCCTGAAGAGGGTGGACACGAGGTGGTGTGCCAGCAAGGACGCTAGGCTCCGAGATGGGTGGACACAAGGCAGTGTGTCAGGAAGAATGTTAGACCCTGAAAGAGGTGAATTGGGAGATCTCACATCAATTGGAGAAGGAAACGAGTGTCAGACCCTGAAAGAGGTGGATTTGGAGATCCAACATCAATTGGAGAAGGAAATGAGTGCTAGCAAGAACGTTGGGCCCCGAAGAAGATAGGATTGTGAGATCCCATATCGATTGGAGAGGAGAATAAAACATTGTTTATAAGTGTGTAAACGTCTCTCTAGCTGAGGAGTTTTAATAAACTTGAAGGAAAACTTGAAAGAAAACGCCTAAAAAACAATATTCACCGAGTGTGAGCTTGAACCGTAAGAGTTTCAACATTCTATAGAAAATAAGATACATGAAGAAGAGCAGTGAACACAAAGTTAAATACAAACGCAAACTCGCAATTTATTTCTAAGCATATACATGATTAGAGGCATAAGATGTGCGTTATTGAAGCAAGCAAGGAAGTAAGTAGTTGATGCAACAGAGCTCACATATTCTTTTAAGATGAGGGCCAGGGAGGAATGATATTAAGAAAAATCTGAGTCTAAAAGCATATTTAAGTAATAGTAGTAAAATAGTTGATGATAGATATTATGATAAATATGATACGAAGTTGCTGCAGGTAACTCACTCACTCTCTACCTCCATCTCTGAAACTGGTTGTTTCTTCTCTTCTTCTAACACAGACTATATATTAACCCATCACCCACCCACCCACCCACCTTCCTCCTACAAACAACAACCCCTTCTTCATACTCATTTTTCCTTCTCTTTTCCACCTTCAGCAGCACTGCTGGCTGCATTTATTTCCCACTTTTCTATCCCAATATCCCAAAACGCAAAAATTCTTCTGCATTTTTTTTTTTTTTAATTTTTAATCGAACTTTTGCTATTTACAGCAATAAATAAGGCTGCCTCTCAACCTTCCAATCCCCAAATCACCAGCTGATAGTCCCGCTGTTAACCTCCATAGACCATGTCCGCCGTTGCCTTGGCTCCGTGTTCATCTGCGGGAGTGGTCTACTACTACTACTCCTTGAAGGACCAGAATCAGGGCTGGAACTTGAAGTATATGCCACAGACGACCTCACTGGTTGATGCCTGAAACATCCAAACATATGGCGAACAATGCGCCTCCACCCGCCTCTTACCCTCCCTCTTCCGCCTCTTGATCCAAATGATACCCTTCTAGGAACGCCGCCATTTGTAAAAGCACCATCCACCTCAGTGTACACAACAGGGAGCTCTCTCTCCCCACCTCTCCTCCCCCCATGGAACCGACCTACTGCAAACCCCCCACCTGGGAGCCTCCATATGGTTAACCCCCCATTCTCATCCACATTTGAGGTCATCGAACCCCCATTCACGCCAATTTCAGCAGCATCCAAAGAGTCTTGGTTATCCGAAGGCAGTTCGTGGCGACATACCGGACAAGAATTTCGAATTGAAAGCCAAGGTAGAATGCAATCAGAATGGTAGATATGCGTGCAGGGCATCTCCCGTGCTTCGTTTCCCAATTCGAATGCCTCTTTACAAACAGCACAGTGCGACTCAGTTTCCAAATGATTTTCACAGATTCGAATAGTGGGCATTGACTCAATCGCAGATTTGGACGCTGGTGGGGTTTCAAATTGCCCAATGCTGTTCATTTCAATCTGAGAAAGTTGCTCCAGAAGCCTATCAAACCCTGACCCTAACAAAAACTCCGACATACTCGGAGGCAGAGGTCTCAGGCCAGAACCAGTACCATCATCGTAATAAAGCTCGAACCGACGACTTTCTCCACCTTCACTCCCATCAGGCGGCCCACGAAGAACTATGACAGGATTAAACGGCGATCGATCCCCTCCATTCCTTCGAGGTCTCCGAATCGCAGATCCCAAATTCTGCCCCGAATTCGACCGATGACCAATCATATACATCGCCGACGCTGGAAACCTCCTCCGCGGCGCCGTTTCCATGTTCCGCAAGCTCACGGGATGATCAATTTGTTCCACGAACCCACTATTACAATCGGGGCACACAACAGCTTCCTGATTGGAAGCCCTAACAAATCGACTGCATCGATAACACCAGTAGGACGACGCCGCCGCCATCGACGACATCAACGAAATTCAATCGAATCGAATCCAATCAATCACCAACTCCCCAAATCGAAGAATCCCACCAGAACCAGAAAACAAAACAAAACAAAACAAAAGAAATCCCCCCACGATCAAAATGTGTATCTCGAAACTAAAAAAGCGACAAGAAAAACAAGAATGTAGTGTGGAATTGAATTGGGAGAGTGTAAATTGGGGAAATGGGGGATTGGATCAAATAACCTAGAAATAGTGGGGCCAATGAAACTGGGATGGAAAGGTTTGAGAGAGAAGAGACAAGTGGTGGTTCGGCTTTGAAAGGAGGCCGAGCATTTGATTTTGCAAATTTTCGTAAAGAAAAGAGGAACTCGGATGAATCTGATTATAAAAAAAATTTAATTATTTTTAAAAATAATAATCCAACGATAAGACCGCGTCAGCCCCGTTTTCCAGTTTCAAATACGTGGCCTATTCCTGATGGTTCATTTCAAACGGCGTTTATTACATCTGTACTTTCCCAACTGCTCAACAGCCTTTGTTGCTTCCGTCTCTTTATTTTATAATTCTGTTAAATTTTTAATAACAATAAATAATAATATAAAATATTTATTATGTTTATCAGGAAAAACCCATAAATGGTTGGTTTGCTTACGAATTTCTATAATTTCCGCAAAATTTCTTATTTCTATAATTTCTTTTGCCATTTTAGTTTATCATCATTTTAAGAAATATAAAATATTATCCAAACATTTCATTTACTATCCAACACCACTCGTGCTCGGCTCACAACGTTATACACTCTATACATTGATGGCAACTAACCGTGGTAGATACATTATTATTATTGGTCCAAATGGCTGAAATTATCGAATTAGTGAATATGGACAAATTTGGAAGTGATAGAGAAGCAAACCGAGTTAATACCTTACACGGGTTTCAGAGATACTTGTCGTTACTATCTTTTTTATCGATTTGTAGTTTAATGCCAATGTTTGGTGCAACGTGTTCATTGTTACGAGGGGTAGATTTATTATAACGCTTTAAAAATCTTATGAAATTAAAATAATAAAATAATAAAATTATTTAGTTCCTTAGTCGATCACTCTCCAATTTAACACAAACACTTGTAGTTATTACAGTGCTTGTCGCCACAAATTCGGATCTGTCTCTCTTACTCTCTGACTCCGACGTGGCATTTCATCAATTTTTTTATTCATTTTCTCATTTAAACTTTAAATAATATATATAATTTTTTCCCGACCATTTTTCAAACATATTGAACTTTTATTTTTTTTTTTGGACAATATTTAATTTTCTATAAATTCTAATTTTATTGTGTTCCGATCTAAATAAAACTTTATAAAAAATTGATTAACTTACAGAAATGATGTGTACATTTTTTTCTAAAAAGAGAAAAAAATTTCCAAAATTTAGAAAGTGAAAAATCTGAATAAATTCCAACAAAACAATTTTTTTATTTTTATTTTTAATATCCTTCCATCTAATTCCTTTTATTTATATTTAAATTGTATATTTTATTTTTCATAAAATAAAATAAAATAAATCCAAAATAGGCAAAATCATTTTGCATTAATCACTGAAATAAAACCCTAAAAGATATCTCGTTCACTAGAATCAATCCTGACCGTCCATTATTGTATTGAACGGTTTTGATCGTTCCACCACTTGCTTATCATTCCTTTCTTCACTTCACTGTCTCTTTTCTTCGCATTTCTTCTTCTCTTCTGTGAAAAGAGCGAACAACAAAAATGGCTAACCCCTTCTTCTTCTCTGATCATTTTTTCTCTCTACACCCAATCTGATGCTCATATTACTGTAATCTAAATTCTAATCAATAACTTAAAAGAAACACTAAATTTTACGCACGGAGATATTTCCATTCCCCCCCCCTTTTTTTTTATCTTATGCCTTTTGTTTGGATTCTTGTAATGAAGCTATGAGATTGTAATTTTTTAAGCTGTGAATCGGTTGTTTGAGTGTTCGATCGATTTTGAGCTCGTTTTTAGCTCAAAGTTGGGAGCTTTTTAAGGCTGTTCTGTATTTCGTTTTGTTTTCTGATTTTAGTTATGGTCACCGATACTTATAATAAATTGGGTGCCGATATTTCACTGCGATCGGCGCTGAAAAGTGGCGATTATGGTGAAGATTTGGGGATGTTGATGCGGCAGCAAAGGGAACAGCATGAAGCTATGAGTGACAGAGAGAAGGAGCTCAGCCTTTGCCGGAGTGGCTCTGCACCGCCGACCGTGGAGGGCTCTTTAAACGCCGTCGGAGGTATGTTTAATGCTTACGACTTATTGGGATTCAGCAAAAGTACTGGGAAAGGTTTTATCTCTGATGAAGAGCTTCGTTCTGATCCTGCTTATGTTAACTATTACTATTCTAATGTGAATCTGAACCCTCGCCTTCCGCCGCCGCTTCTGTCCAAGGAGGATTGGCGGTTTGCGCAGCGGTTGCACGGCGGAGGCACTCGGGGATTGGGTGGAATTGGAGATAGGTGGGAAGGTGGTAGAGTTGTTGTTGTTGGTGGTGGTGGTGGTGGTGGTGGTGGTGGTGGTGATGAAGGGGTTAATGGGAATGGCTCACTTTTCATGTTGCAGCCTGGAGTTGGAACCAATGAGGATTCTGGTATTGAATCTAGGCGGGTTGGTGGTGATTGGACCGGCGATGGCCTTATTGGGCTGCCGGGGCTGGGACTTGGGAGTAGGAAGAAAAGCATTGCTGAGATCCTTCAGGTGATCACGCTTTTGATTGTTTTATATGAGGCTCTGGATAATCTAGATTATGTGTTCTTTTGTTCATTTATGTTCTTGTAAGATGTCTTTTTTCCCTCAAGTAGTTGTGAACTTGATCAAATTCCTATTTTTTTTTTGTGCTAACTCAGATGATTTTGTTGATTTAAGTCTCTGCTACATGTTTTAATTTTGTTTTTCGTGGCAGGATGATTTAAGCAATGGAATATCCATCTCCCGACACCCCTCTCGTCCGACTAGCCGCAATGCATTTGACGACACGCTCAAAGCTTCAGAAAGCCAATTTGGTTACTTACATCAAGATATGGCAACAATGGGTGGGAACAAACAGGGGATGTCTGCAGTCCAAGGGGTTGGTGCCTCTCACCCTCATACTTATGCATCAGCTGTAGGAGCCTCCTTGTCAAGAACTGCAACTCCTGACCCTCAACTCGTAGCAAGAGCTCCAAGTCCTCGTATTCCTCCAGTAGGTGGTGGGAGGGTATCCAGCACTGTGGATAAAAGAAATGCTTGCGGTCCGAATTCTTTCAATGGGGTTTCACTGAAGGCGAGCGAATCTCCAGACCTGGTGTCTTCTTTTTCTGGCATGAATTTGTCATCAAATGGTATTCTAGGTGATGAAAGCCACTTGCAGTCGGATATTCAGCAGGAGATTGATGATCATCGCAACTTCTTCAACCTGCAAAGTGAACAAAATGATATGAAAATGTATTTAAGTCATAAGAACTCGGAATCTGGGAAGTTTCATATGCATTCACCTTCTCAGTCAACTAGAGGGTCTCATCAGAACAATTCTCTTGTGTTGGGTGTCGATCATGCAGAATTCAATAAGCAAGCTGTTTCTTCGCCTACTTCGTATATGAAGGGGCCATATAAACAAACACTTGATAACGCACGAGGTTCGCCATCTCACAATCAGAATATCGATAATGCTAATTCTTCTTTCTTGAATTATGGATTCGGTGGCTATACGACTCATCCCCCAGTTTCCTCCATTGTTGGGACGACCCATCTTGGCAGTGGTAATTTACCACCGCTGTATGAAAACGCTGCTGCTGCATCAGCATTGGGAATGAGTGGCATGAATACTAGAGCATTCAGTGGATTAGCTTTAGGATCAAATATGTTAGAGACAGCCAACGAATTTCAAAAGAACAACAGGTTGGAAAATCATAATGCAATGAATGCTATGCAGTTACCTGCATTGGATCCATCTTACATTCAATATTTGGGATCAAACGATTACGCTGCTGCTGCTGCTGCTGCTCAGGTGGCCGGGATTAGTGACCCTCCATTGGATGGTGAAAGCTTGATGGGTAATGGATATATGGATTTATTGGGAGTCCAGAAAGCCTACCTGGGAGCATTGCTTTCATCTCAAAATTCTCAATATGTTCTCCCCTATTATGGTAAATCTGGCAGTTTAAATCAAAACTACTATGGCAACCCCGGATTCGGTCTTGGCATGTCGTATCCTGGAAGTCCGTTAGCTGGATCCCTTCTTCCTGGCTCTCCTGTTGGGTCTGGTACTGCTATCAACCACATCGGTAAGGCCTTGCGCTTCTCTTCGGGAATGAGAAATTTAGCTGGAGGTGGCATGGGAGGTTGGCATTCTGAAGCTGGTGGCAATATGAACGGAGGTTTTGTGTCTTCTTTGCTGGATGAGTTTAAAAACAATAAAAGCAGATGCTTTGAACTTTCAGAAATTGCTGGGCATGTTTTCGAGTTCAGGTATTTGCTGTTGGACGATTTATATTTCTATGCTGTTACGAAATGCAGACTGTCTTGAATTTGAATGCTTTCGTTTTCCTTCTAAACAGCTCCGATCAATATGGTAGTCGTTTCATTCAACAGAAACTTGAAACTGCTTCTGAGGAAGAGAAAGACATGGTTTTCCATGAAATTATGCCACAAGCTCTTTCCTTAATGACCGACGTTTTCGGTAATTATGTCGTTCAGAAGGTATTGTTTTGCTTTTAACTTTCACATGTATGCACTTTCCTAATAATTTTTCGGTTTTAATGATGAGCGTCGAGTTGTTTATTGTCTTTTGGGATCCAGTTTTTTGAGCACGGAACTGCATCTCAAATAAGGGAACTAGCTGATCAACTCAACGGACACGTGCTAGCACTCAGCCTTCAAATGTACGGTTGCCGAGTGATTCAGAAGGTCTGTGTTGCCTGCCTGTTTTCAATTGGAACATCTTTTCATCCCAATGATATTAAATTCCCTTTCACTCGTCGACATTTCACCGACTGTTATCTTTTACAAGCTTGGTGTTCGAGATGAAGTTTCGTTTCATTTTTACACTGTAACTGAAATATTATGGTCTCTAAAACATCATTTCAGGCAATTGAAGTCGTCAACGTCGACCAGCAGACTAAAATGGTTACAGAACTAGATGGTCATATCATGCGTTGTGTTCGTGACCAAAATGGGAACCATGTTGTGCAGAAGTGTATTGAATGCATTCCTGAGGACGCAATTCAGTTCATTGTTTCAACATTTTATGACCAAGTCGTGACATTGTCGACTCATCCGTATGGTTGTCGTGTTATTCAGGTATGGTTGTATTCTCTGGTTTTTTGACTAAAAATTGTCATTATATGAAACTTTCTATGATAATCATGCTAAAATCGTACAAAAACTTTCCCTCCCAGAGAGTCCTTGAGCACTGCCACAACCCAAAAACACAGCATATAATGATGAATGAGATTTTTCTGAATGTCTGCATGTTGGCTCAAGATCAGTATGGAAACTATGTTGTGCAGGTTTGTTATTAACGAAGGCGCTCTTTTAATTGTACAACGTTTTCGAATCTTTTGTCGCTGAAGCACGTTAATTTACTAAGTTGTTGTCCCTGTTCTTTCAGCATGTCCTGGAGCACGGGAAGCCACACGAACGTTCTGCTATTATTAAGAAGTTAACTGGGCAGATAGTTCAAATGAGTCAACAGAAATTTGCCTCGAATGTCATTGAGAAATGCCTAACCTTTGGAACTTCTGCTGAACGCCAGGCCTTGGTGAACGAGATGCTCGGTACCACTGATGAAAACGAGCCCCTTCAGGTGTTTTTCTACTATCTCCCTGCATTTTTTTATACGATCAACAGATTGCCCCACCCCGTGTTTTTCCACTATCTCCCTGCATTTCTTTATACGATCAACAGATTGCCCCACCCCCTACTGCTACTGTACGTTTTTATTCCGAGCATGAACTTTTATTTTCTTCAGTTTCGTCATTGTTGTGCTGTAGATTCTAATCCTTCCAAGTTAATGGGGAATTTAAACCTTAGAACATCCTATTTATATTTCACGAAACTATTTTTTTTTTCTGTCAACGGATGATCGGTCTATTCAAATGCGTCTTCATTTTCTTTGCCTCCAATTCAGATGATTGGATGGCGATGACATTATTCTTATGAAAACGAAAAACCCGACAAATCTTAACGTGCTTCATTCTGTTGTTGAATCTCTTTGCCTCCAATTCGGATGATTGGATGGCAACGACATTTGTTTTCTTTTGAGAACGAAAAACCCGACAAAATCTTAACGTGCTTTATTCTGTTGTTGAATCCAGGTTATGATGAAGGATCAGTTTGCAAACTACGTTGTACAGAAAGTGCTGGAAACTTGTGATGACCAGCAACTTGAACTAATTCTTAACAGGATAAAAGTTCATCTAAATGCTTTGAAGAAGTATACCTATGGTAAACACATAGTTGCTCGTGTGGAGAAACTCGTCGCTGCTGGAGGTACATTCTCTCGGTCTACCGATTATTTACTGTTTCTTTTTCGTTTACTTTTGCACAAGCTAGAACATCACCTAGAATGTGATAGATACTCGGTAAATGACCGAAATGGAAACGAATAACAAGTGAGAATAAAACAGGACAGCTAGCTAAAGTAGTGGCATGAATACTTGATCTACATTTTCGATAACAACGATCGATCTTGATTGATATTATACCATTACTTCAACGTTGCGGTATCTAAAACGATCTTAAATTGAATGACAGAGAGGAGGATTAGCATTCTGACTCCAAAGCCAGCACAAATGGTGGGTTAGGAAAACAGGGAAGTTGTACAGCTAACTGAGGATAGCACAAAGCGCAGTGTCTGTTTCCGCTTCGTCGAACGTCTGTCTAGTAAGTAATAGCGGCTGTATCTATGTGATTCAGATAGAAGCTGACTTGAAATAAGAAAAAAAAAAAGGTAGAAAAAAGCTAAAAACAAAAACAAAAACATAAAAAAGAACTGTTGGCTGTACATTTTATAATCTGGGAGTATAGAGAAAGTGAAGAAGGTTTGAAGAGATTGAGGGACAGATGAACAAAGCTCTGATGGCTCTGCCCCTAAACTGAAGAGATAAGAAGTTTAGTATTTGAGTTTTGTTTTAGGGTGTAAAAATATGGGTGGGAAACGAGTTCTTTAATGGGATGTGGTTATGATGATCATCAGATCATGGTTTGTACAAATATTAGCTGGTGGAGTTCTACTTTTGTTCTTCTTTTTATCATTATGTATCAGATTTTGATTCTTCATCTTTGTTCTTTCTTATCAGAGTTTTGTTTTTCCTCTTGTATAAGGATTGATTGATTTAGCAGAGACCATTTTTCTGGTTGTTTATGATTGGGTTTGTTTTGTTCTTGGCATAAATGAGTAGCAAACGCAACAATATATACTTTATATTGATATGTGATTTTGGTGCCACAAAAGAAGAAAGAACACAAAAAGGCCTGAAAAATTTAGATCAGATGAACCCCATCATCTCCATTTGATGTCTGCGCAACACTGTATGAGTTCAGATGAGAAGTGGGTTTCTTAAAAAGCTCCTCTGTTAATGGCATCTTCATTGGCATTGCCAAGAGCAGCTTCATTCAAGTACTTGTCAGCCAATTGCACCCTCTTCACATTCTCTTGCTCTTGCACCAGCATGTTACCATACTCCAACAGCTTCTCCACCGACATCTTTGGCTGCTCGAACTTTGGTGGTGGGTCTTTCGAGTTCACCAACTTCTTCCCAACAGTGTCGACTCCAACTCCGATGATCCACTTCCTTACTTCGTCGTCGTACACTCTTGCCCTCAGTGCACCGAAGAAGTCTGAAAATCAGGTTGTTTGAAATTAGGAACGATTTGAAAATATATGATCAGTTTAAACTTTTGAGTTACGAGAAACTAACCAATAGATTGGCCCGGGAAAGTGTCAACCAGCCTGACGACGTCCTCATCAGGGACATTGTCAGTCCTAAAGATACCTTTGCAAACACCAATACGATCCTCCCTAGTGGGAGCCCAGTAGAATTTCTCCATACGACCATCACGGATGAGGGGAGCATAAAGGGTTGAGAAATCGTTACCAGTGACGATGATCGGAACACGAGGGTTGTCCTCCTTGTTGTACATACCAGGAAGCTGGACGTTTGTTGGGTTATCAGCGATGTTCATGAGGGTAGCGTTAACCATCTGGTTGTTGACGGTGTACTGCGTGGTGCCACCAAGACGACCAGCACCGGCGTCGAGATCATTGATGAAGAGACAGGACATTTTCCCTTTCTTGATAATGTCAGCCGCCTCACGGTACCTTTGACGGATCAACTTGGCCGGCTCTCCGGCGTTGCCACTTTCCAATTCTCCGGCACTCATCATGATTGGGCTGTAAGAAGATCAAATACAAGTGTTGGAGCAAAATTTTGTTATACAAGTACGAAATTTGCAAGCTCAAAGTGTGATCTTGACTCACGTGATACCCATCTTGGCAAAAACAAGCTCACATTGGAAGGATTTTCCTTGTCCTTTGCCTCCCCAAATACCCAAAATGAGAGGAACCTAACCAAAATCGATCGTTAGAGTCACGAGTGAGGCACGAAATTTTCATAAAAACAGACGGAGAATTTAAAAACCTTGATGTTGGGAAGGGACATGAAGTTCTTGGTGATGTGAACGACCAACTTGTCCATGAAAGCGGGAGCAATGTAGAAGCCATCCAATAAGTTGTCCAATCCCTCGTATCTACAAAAACAAGACCTCATAAAACAAGACCACAAAACACGAACACTAATTTTGTAAAAACAAACTCGATTATACGTACGTTTTAAGTCCAGTACTAAGATACTCATAAGAGCTCATAATAGCATTATGGGTTCCACTTTGCATGGGAGCTTGGAAAAGGGTGTCAACCATTCCCTTTCCTCTTGTGATGTCTTGTTGGTCATCGGATATGTCATAGGCAAGCCCTCTCCACCTGTCTTTCGATGTCTGCTTCTCGAGATCTTCGTCAGCGGGGGCGTCCGATGCCACCACCTTGAAGCTGCCTGGCGAGGCCTTTGGGCTGGCAATTCTCGAATTCACCACTTTCTTCAAGCTGCTTCCGAAGAACACTGAGCTCGGAACTGAAGTTGCCGAGCTAGAGCCATTCAAGCTTAGCTGAAACACACATCAACAACATGTCATTTCATCTTACATTAATATTCGTATAAGAAAGAGTTTGAGAATATGAAAGATGATTTTTTTTTTTTTTTTTTTTAGTATAATCTATCAAGTTAAGCTAAAGAGAAGCTCGTAATGGGATTCGAGATCGAGAGAAGGGTAAGAACGACTCACGGGTGCATGGTTGATGACTCCGACGGAGGCAGCGGAGGCAGCCATCGAACTCGACGAGTGACGGGAGAGTAAAGTTCACAAGAAGGCTGAATTTGGAGAAGGATCTTTGGACGAGAAACGGCAGTGGGCAGTGAGGGAGGCTTTATAGAAGTATGGATGAAGGCTTCATTGCATTGGAGAATGATGGCCTAACCATGAGTTTCAAGAATTGTCAGCAGCCACACAGTGAAGATGAGCTGAGAGGACACGTGGCAGCAGGACAAGGTTTGTAAATTGATCTTCGAAGAACCTTAGTGGTTGGCTTTAAAGGGACTTTCTTCTCCATAAACAAATTTGGGTATTTCATAATTATCATAACACCCACAAACACCCTTAGTTAAACCAAGCTCACCCATTGGTCCATTTTCCATGCATAATATTGGATGTTTTTTTTTTTTTTTTTTTTTTTTTGTTAACGTTATTATGTGCATGTTGTTACCCGAAAAAATCATTATGTTTTGTGAGATCCCACGTTGGTTGGAGAGGGGAACGAAACATTTCTTTCCAGTAGACCTTGAGGGGAAACTCGAAAGTGAAAGCCTAAAGAGAACAATATCTACTAGAAATAGATTTGTGATGTTACAAATGATATCAGAGCCAAATACCGAACGGGATGTTAACGAGAACGTTGAACCCCAAATAAGTGTGTAAAAAGTAAAAGAGTTGCGAAACGATTTGAATCACAAGTTGTATGGGAGGCCCATTTGTGCATACAAATTTTGGATGCACACCAAATAATTGAAGTGTGATTGCATCTTCAGCCAAATAAGAGGTGAAGAAGAAGGGATAAGGATAGGTTCATTTTCAGCCTTCCCTCTTCATACCCTAACCCATTCTATTCTATTCCATTTCGTTTTCTTTCTACTCTCTACTATATTGTCCCTCGGTTTAGTCTTTGGCCCCCACAATGGGGCCGAGCGCACGAGCCACACTCGACTTCTTCTAACTTAGTAATAGACATTTTAAAATATTAATATATCTTTTATTCTTACATAGATAATGCACCATATTTATTTTTTTTAAAAATTAAATATCCAATTATACACATTTTTTATTCATTTATCTACGTGTAAATAAATATTTGTCAAAAGTAGATTGTTAGGGCAATTTTTTTTTTTTTTTTTTTTTTGGTCACAAACCATTTCTCAATTTCTCAATTTTTCTTTTTCTCTCGGATCCATTCAAACCCTAAAATACAATCCTGATATAACTTTCTTAGTAATGTAACAACTCAAATCCACCGCTAATAGATATAGTTCTCTTTAGAATTTTCCTCAAAGTTTTGCATACGCAGAGGTTTCCACACTTTTATCAGAAATGATTTATTTTCCTCTTCAACTAATGAGAGATCTCACAGATAACATATACACTATTAGTTTAACGTTCTTCCAAGAACATTATTACTACTTATAATTATATAAAATTGAACGAAACGAGTAGTATATATCAATAATTGTCAGGTAAAAAGTATTAAAAAGTAAATAAAAATTATTTCAATCAATCAATCGAGAGTCGTTTCATTAGGGTGTGTGTCGTTGTCTGCAAGTTGGGTTGATTGACACCCTACAATTTAAAACTATATATTATAAGTATAGAAGAATTTAGAGCACTATGACCAAAACATTGAATAATTAAAGAAAAAACATTATAGTTAAACTCGAAAACCAATAAGCCAACCTCCACCATCCTCTACCTATTTTTCCCATGCATCTATTTTTTTATATTACGAAAATCAAGTCAATTTTTTTTTTATTTTTAAAAAATATTGCTTAAACATTTTTGTTTTTTATTAGAGGAAATAGCGTGTTGAATTATAAATTTAATTTACGATGTTTAGAGAAACTTAGAATTTGATTCTTACGACTATAAAGGTTAGAATTAGTTCCAATTAGTTTAATAAAACGCTCAAAAAAAATTATTTACAAAATTTTTATAAAATTATTAAAATAAAATTATATTTAAAAAATATATATTATAATAATTAGTTAGAGAATATATCTTAGACACTATATTTTAATATTCATTCATTTAATTCGATTAATATTTAATTAATTTATATCATATTTAAATTTTATTCATATCAAGTTATACTGCTTCAAGCCTTTGCGTTGCATTGGGAAAATAAAAAAGAAAATAATTAAGTGGCCAACAGCCAAACCCAAACCCTATTAGTTTTTAAGATTAAAATATTTACATAATTAATTATACAACTTAATTAAGGATGATTATTAAAAACATGAATGTGAATGTTTGATTAATCCACCCCACCTAAATGGTGTGAAAGTTATCTTATTTATAATCAAATGAATTACAAGGATATGGAAATAGTAATAAATGGAAATAACAATAAATAGAAAGATACCTATGATAATAAAGCAAATATTAGATATTTGCCTTATAATAAAATATCAAATATAATATATATGGTAAACTATAATTTATTACTAAATATCTTTAACACCCCACCGCAAGCTAAGTGTCGGATTTAAACGAACGTGAAGCTTGAATCTGAAAAATTCAAAGAGGTTGAGAAACACTTTTCTTGAAGAAGTCAACAACCTGGTTCAGAGGAGGCGTAGAGAAACACTTTCTTGGCCATTGAAAATTGCAGAGGAATCGCCGCTCAACGGCAATGCTGCCTTGGCTTCGGCGAGAATATGTCTAACCCATGAAGAGGGATTGTCGCTTAGCGACGATGCTGCCTTGGCTCTGGTGAGAATATTTCTAACCCCAAGAAGTAGAAGGAGAAACCTAGAGCAAGGGACAAAGACAATGTTGAAGCTGGAAGAGTCGCCACATTGGGCGAAGGAGCCAATTTTGGCGAGAAGGGCAGTCGGAAGAGTCGCCTCATCGGGCGAAGAAGCCAATTTTGGCAGGAAGAGCGGTGGCAACTTGGTTGGCGAATAGGCCAGTGCGGCACCCAGATTCCGAAGGTAAATCTCTACAAAAGTAAATAACTAGCGTGCTAAATGTTACTGAGTGTACTTTTGCGATAGTCAGACAGCGATTGTGCGACACTTATTTTAATCCAGCGAGTAAATTGATCGTGTGAAATTTATATTTTATAGATAATATCGGCGTATGCTCGAGTCTCGGATTAGAAAAAGTGAATGAGAAAATATATTGAAAATAAAATTTTAAAAAATAATGTTATAAGCTAAAAACGAATAGGCAACAACAATAACTTTGATTGCATATAACTTAGGTTGGAACAATGACATGATTTTGGTGACCGATCATATACCCCAACAATAATAATAAAAGTCTAACATGAAAGCAATTAAAAGATGTTTGGATTGAGTATGTGGACAACATGTCTTGAATAAGCATGACTAAGACATCGTGCGACGATAAACAATGACTTAACCGTGGTATTTTAAAAAAAAAAATTGCACAAAAAAAGATAATTTTTTTTTTTTTTTTCATCATTGGCCAAATGACCTACCCGTCTATTGATTTTGACTAAAAAGCATTATAATAATGAAAAGGAGGTTGGCAAATTGAAATTTACTTGAGGCGCTCTTTTAAATAATAAATAAATATATTTGTTAATTCATAAAATTAAAAAAAAAAAAAAATCATTTGTTTACTCTAATTTTAATTTCATCCATCTATGAATTTAAGAGGTATTATAATTTTAATCTTTTTCACATGTTTTTCAAAAATTATAGATAAAGAAGTACAATAAAAGTTATGTGAAATTAGTTTTAATTATAATTCAAGCTAACTAAGTAGTTAATTTTTTAAATCTTCATAATTATATGAATTTGAAATTATCATAAATAAATCTATAATAATTTTGTCAAGAACTAATATCTTCAATTTATTATTATTATTATTAGTCTAGAATTTTATTACTTTAGAATTTAATTTTAATTATTAATGATCTTGAACAATATTACGAATCATGTTCAAGTAATAATTTAAATGGTCTATATTACTGGAATAAAGTTAGTGCTGGATTTTGATAAACTTTGTAATTGTTGTTATGACATATTTTGTAATTGTTATATATGATTTGATCAAAATTATTCGTATAGAACCATGTACAATGAGTTTGTATAAGACTAAATCACGGAATATTTAATGTATTTATATATCCATTAGATTATCCTTAATTCTAAATGAGCTATGAACTCAAAGATTTACTTGACCAAATTTGAGTTTCTTGACGTATTCATCCGCTCAAACAAACTACGGGGATACTCTCTGCAAAATAAATAATACTAACATCAAATCAAAACGTATGCAAGTTTGAGAGCTCAAACAAACTAAACATGCTTCATCGACTTGGGTGTTTGAGCCTCATGATCAAATTGGGATAAGAACGAGTGTTGAAGAATCTTTCGAAAAATAGGGTCTTTTAAGGCACAAATTAGGAAAGGCATTGCCCCAATGTGAGACTGACATTGTAGCCCACCAAGGAGACCCCAAAAAGGAAAGCACATACGCATAACTTTAGCTGAAAAAGAAAAAAAGAAGAAGGCAAATGATGGGTTATAAAGACCAACATCTCTTCTTCTTAATTTGATCAAACTTTTGCTTCCTTTTTTAACTACTTACTTACTTTTATATCATATAATTCAGACAATGACAGGGCTTACCTCTTCTTCTTCTTCTTCTTCTTCTTCTTCTTCTTCATGCGGTGCCTGCAAGTTTCTTAGACGAAAATGTAGTAATCACTGTGTTTTTGCTCCTTTCTTCACCTATGATGAAGCTACTTCTCACTTTGCTGCTGTTCATAAAGTGTTTGGTGCTAGTAATGTCTCCAAGCTTCTCTTGCACCTCCCCATGCACGTCCGAAGCCACGCTGCGATCACGGTTTCTTATGAAGCTCTCGAGCGCATGCGAGATCCTACTTATGGTTGTGTTGCACATATCTTCACGTTGCAACAAGAGGTTGTTCTAAAACTTTAAAACTTAAGTCGATGATTAACGCTTTCTTAGCCTATCAAATCTTTCTCTTGCAGATCATGAGTTTGCAAGAAGAGATAGATATGTTAGGGAGCCAAATTGCCAACTTCACCACCGATATGGACAACGTTGCAGTGGTCGAGAATCCATCTATGGAGCTTCAAGTTTCGAAACAGTTGAATGAATTGGTGATGAACACAAATGATTATCAAAACGAGTTGCTCTCTCAACTGCCGACTTTTGATGAAGTCCAAATTAATGATGCTCAAATGATATCTCCATTGTTTTGTATTGGGGAAGAAGAAGGGTTTTTCGGGTGCAACCCAAATAATGCTATGGAGAATTCAGCCTTTGATGTATCAGTTGATGAAAACTTTGCTTATCTATGGTAGTTGATCTTGATGTATCCATTTGGTTTAGAATGACGAAATCTAAATAATTGAATGATTTATAATCCGAATATGATCGACAATGTAAAGGCTAAAACAAGTCAAATCATTCTACCAAAACCATTATTTGTTAATTTACTCCAAGAAGTTCAAAGCACTAAAAGAAAAGCCATTCGAGTCATGAACGAATGGATTGTAGAGAAATAGAGTTAAGAGAAGTGTACAAAACATAGCATTGGGTGCTTTTAAACCAAGATCACATCCATTCTTTCATGGCAGCTCCACAGCCTCGCCAACACAGTCCCCGATATTACGAACTCTCTCTATTCTGGTTGAAAAGCTTGAACGTCGAAGTCGACCCTACTGACAAACTATCGCAAACCACCTGCAGAAGCATAGAAGATTATGTTCTAAGTAGTCATAACAACCAAAAGAAGATGGAAGCTCAGGCAGTACAGGCACAGACGACTCAAAATGAGCCTATAGTTAATACTTAGTGCAAAAGTCAAATAATAAGCTCTAAATGATTCCAAGTTCAAACTTCATTAATTCAAGGACAAGAGGTCCTATCTCCCTACATCTATCAAACTCGAGCAACAACGGAAGCATGCTTCTTGAGTAGAACTATATTCACATTTGACAATGTATCATGGTAAAAAAAAATTTACCTCCTATATGGAGATGTGAGTTGAAAATTCAATTCACCAACCTTGTGTAGAGCATTGTAATGGGTGATCTATATGGGTTTTGGTTGAAATCAAATTCAGTGTTCAAAGAGAAACATCTACAGCTTTAAGTCAAAAGGATAGCTTTTAAGGGAAAAAAAGAAGCAATTTCTTTCCATCTACGGACATATTTTTCAACTCTAAGAGCCACCATCTTGGAACACCTTTCCTACCACGGAAACCAACTACCACTGACTTCCCAATTTATCAATGAAAAAGTTCACATTCAAAAATATGCAAGTTTATGATGGTAAAATGAAGAACTACAGCAGAAATGAATCTGTCTTGAACAGCTAAAACTCCTAGACCATTCAACACGACACCGAACCAGAAGAAAATGTAGACGCATCAATAATGCGTTTAAACCTATTGACTTAAAAGCTCTTTCTAGTATAAAAATGAATATTCTATTAGTTATGTCCTAGAATATATTGTTTTTCGTTTGATATCTATGTCCTAGATTTCAAAAAATATACAATATTTTCTGTATTTCATGTCCATGTCCATGCTTCATAGGAATCTCCCTCATGGGCTAACTAAGGGTCCAATCATAAGTATATAAGTAATGGACACTCTTCATTGGTACGAGACTTTTCGAGAAAACCGAAAACAATAGCATATGAGCTTTATATAAATATAAAGACCAGCACCAAACATTATATTTTAAACGACAATTTATAGACAAGTGGGGAGTAGTTGAAAAAAATTCAAACACTCAATTGGATAATAACCCCACGTAGATAACCAAATCAAACCTATCAATTTTGTCATTTTCCATACATGTTGGTCTAAAGATCTTATCAACTTTACCATTCAAACCAAATGCCTAACCGAAGCTATCTAGATGAGGCTTCCTCCATCACTACAAGTCCTGTAGAAGGGCCTTCGTTTAGCTAGTTGATAGTTCGAGAACGAGTTTTAGATGTCTAAGTTGATGAAGATTGTCATGCACAAATATATTTCTCAATGGTAGAAGATATGTACTGATAAACGCTTCTCAAAATCATCATAGAACACTTGAAAAAAACAGGGAAAAGCGTGTACCTGATTAGGGAATATTGTGGCTCCAAACTCGAATTCGATTTGTTCACCCACAAAACTATATAGATTCATTGATTCTGACAAAGATGAGAATTAGAGCAATGCATATAGAAAGAAGTATTCCCATAAGATCATAGTTATTTTATATGCTTACAGATAATTTGCCATGATGTTTTGCAGAAAAAAGAAATTTAATCAGTTCTTAAAAGTTCAAACAAAACTAGCACCTAATTAACTTATCAATCCTCTATCACTTTCACTCCCTCTATGTTTCTCTATATATCTGTTAGAATGGAGGTGGGGCTCGAGGAGGACTCCAAAACACATCATGAGAAGAAACCTGACCATTTGGCACCAAATTTGAAGTCATATTGTAATTTCCCATTGAAGGCTGCTGCTGTTGCTGATCCCCCATGCTCTGAGAAGTTGAATTGTTTTGGCTATTTCCGGACTTGTCTCCGGCAGCTGCCTCCTCATCCTCAAGCGGTAGCCGCTCGTATGTGGCATTGGTGAAGGTAGCAGCAATGACAATAACCGGACCGGTTGCAATGAGAGCACCGACGACAATGCCACCAACGACCTGCCCCTGCCCGCCAGCCAAGTAGACTGTTAGTCCGGTAGCCCCTGGTGGAGCAGGGGAAGGCAAAAAGGCACCGGAGAGCGACAATATATCAAACCGTCCCTGTAGAGTAATAACGTTGCCAGGGGCGGCCGGATGCCTTAGAGTGACATTGGCGACAACCCCATTTCCACCGAGGACAGAAACCCCTCGCTGGCGGCGTTGAGCGAAGTTCGAGATGCTTTCGACGATGTCGCAGCCGCTGCCGATTTCTAAAACGTGGCTCCGGAGAGCATCGGGGCTCTCCTTGGTGACTACCACCGGAGGCTTCATCTTGTTTTTGGATCCCGGCGGCCGACCACGTGGGCGGCGCGTGGTGGAGCCGGTGCCTGGTTCAGCTCTCTCATAGCTGCCGGAGTTGTTTTCTTCATCCGCAGCTTCTAAGCTTTGCTTTAATGGAGTCGAATAAGGGTTGGTGGTGCTGCTATCTGTGGTGGTGGGTATATTTTCAGCCCACCATCGACTTGCCATTTCTTCTTCAGCTTTTGATTATTAAAACACCCAAAAGAAACCCCAATGCAAATATATACACAAAACCAAAGAAGGAATCCAATGGGGGCGGGGCAAAAGAAGTTTCTATCCTACTTACCTTTTATTCCCCTTTCCCACACTTTCTCTCTCTATTCAATAATCTCCCTCTCTCTCTCTCTCAATGAATAACGACGAGAAAAAAACGACTACGCAAGTGAAAACCAGCTAACCCATTAAGCCGTTGAAGCTTCCTCCTCCTTTTTCACCTTCAAAAGAACAAAACCCAGATCGATATCTGCAAGAAAATGACCTAACCAGTTCCAATAGTTCAAAAAAACAAAACCCGACAAGGCAACACCAACGCGTGTTCACAGAAACCCAAAACGATGAGGAATTAAATCAGAGCACCAAATGGAGAAACAAAGTCAAATTGGAAAAGGGAACTCCCTTTAAAGAAGAAGAAGAAGAAACCCCATCATTTTCTCGATTGCAACGGAGCGCAGACAAAGAAAACAACGTGGGGGTGGGTCTCGATTGAGGAAATAAGTACACAAGAGAGCTGGCCCAGAAAGTACCTATCTTTAATGTACTCTAGAGGGTCAGTCAGAAAAATTAGTACAAAGACCCCCAAGAGGTTCTGCTTCTGCTGATGCGCATGCTCTATCTGAGCAGATGAAGTTTTTCGATGAAGAAGAGAGGGACTAAGGGGAGGGGTTAATTTTTTGAAGCATTAAGTTGTACGATAAGATCTTTGACAGTAATCACTGTAGAATCAACGTTAAAGCAGTTCAGCAGCTCTGCTCTGCGCTGCTCTGTTTTTTACTCTCTCAAGTTGAAGTGAAGGGCAGCTATCTTCGGTCTTGGGCGGCAAGTTTATGGGGATTGATTATGGGGAAAAGGGTACGTGTAGGGCTGTGATTTGGAGGGGAAGAAGGAGAAGAATGGGCAAGAGGTCACAGTCTGAGACGACCGACAAAGGCATCCAAAGGGGCCCAAAAGTTTTTGAAGTCTTGGATTTGGAGTGGAAGGGAGGCCCCCCACCACAACCCCCCATTCCCTATTTTGGTCATTTTGGGCCTTTTTCCCTTTCTGGAATGTTTCAGGTTCAACACCGTCATTTTAGGGACACAATTTCGGGAGTATTTTGGTTCAATTTTACAAATATGGCCCTCTACACACTAAAAAAGTTAACGTTGTAGTCCTCGAAGTCTTTTAAAAAAATATACATTGAATAATTGTTTGCGGTCTCTCTCTCTCTTCTATGTCGAAGAGTGTAAAACAACGAGCGAGCTACCATACATCCAATGTCAAAATCGCATTTCAGCGACGGGGTTAGAGAAAATATTTTGAGTTATAAATAACGACTACTAGTCCTAGTCCTATCCTGTGTGTGCATTTTTTCGAAGAAAGTAATTTTTCTCTAATTTAAAAGATTAATTAATCTAACAGTTGCTTATCTTTGACAATATCATTTAATTTGACTAAAATAAATTTAGAAAAAGCTTATGGAAAAAAAAAACAATGAATGCTAAATCAACAAAATCGAAGTCAAAGACGTGAAAAATTAAAAGATGAAACAAAAGTAACGTTGAATCTTCAATATAAGAAACTATTGAGAAAATTTATAGTTCATAAACACAGAAGAATTTACATATAGGAAAAACAATTTCTGGTAATAATATTTTTTAAAAAAAAAATTGAAAGGAAAAGGATATTAACAAAACTTTAATGTTTTCTCCGAACATTTTTATTAAAACGAGGACCAATACTTCAGGAGTTCTATAATTAAACCTCAACTCTATGCTATCTAGTGCAATTACTATATCATAGTTAGTTCCAGTACAAAAAAATTGAAAAAATGGAAATCATCAATGGACGATGGCTCCTTACTTCCTAAAGTGCATGTACAGAAAGTAATTAACCATTAAATACACAATCAAGAGCTGCCTACTATCTGGTATTGATTAGTTAAAATGCTACTGAGTTACAAAATTTGGTCCTATTACAGACATGAACACGAGGTATGGTAACAAAATACATCAAACATATGATTGACAACCAATCGTACAATTGGAAAATCAAATGATAAGAGTGCAACTCCTTTCATGATCAAGGAGAGATCTCTTCCTTATCTTAAAGCTTAAGATATATTATAAGGATAATAACGAGTACCAGAACTCCAATTACTGACCCGACAATCCATTTATTTCGACTGATTCTTCGAGACATCGTGACCAGAACCTTTTTACTCTTATCAATGGCATCATCTACCCCATAAAGCTGCAACATGAAGCATATTGTTAACAATTATCCCAAGGATGGAAAAAGAGCTAGCAATTAAAGTTAGTGAGTTGAAGTTGAAGGATTTTAATGGCATCAAAGATGGGATTTATTCAGAGTAATTGGTGAGTGGCTAAGAACTTACTTATAGTCAGCCAGAACATAATATCAAGAAAAAACTTACTCTCTTGTGGGAGTGAAGGAGAGTTTCACGCTGTTGATGTAAATCCTGGAGAATTGAGACACCGAGCTCCTCGGTCTCCAGCATGGTTCTTCTACTCTCTGTGATTCTTTCACCAGACTGATTTATTCTCTCTATGGACATTGTCAGCCTCTCCCTTTGATCAGCTGATGCCTGTAAGAACGTTGAAAAGGTAACAAAAACGATCAATTAAACCTGTGCAAGACAAATATCTTCTCATTATCAAAATTAGAGCAGATGTTCCTATGATGAGATCCGTTTGGCCTATGGCTATATAAAAGATATGAGACTGATCCTATGATGTGAATCGAACTGGCTGTAGAAGGTGCGTCCACCAACTCAACTCCACAAACATGTTTAAGTTATTGAGACGTAAAAGCCAACAACATTGCAAAAGAAATTGAAGGGGAAAAGATAGGACTATCAACACAACTTAGAAAATATCATCCCTTCGGCGACAAGAGAGGCTGAAAAAACAAATATGGACTGAATAAAAAATTCATATTGCAACCGATGAAGTACCTGGAACAGTAACTTCTTTTAACAAGAGATTAGAATATACCACACAAAAATGACCAAAAACTTTAGACATTTTGTATAGAACTATAGATACATTAAGATTTTTTTTTTTTATAATATCTGTTTGTGATTGGGCCAACTTTCAAACATCTCGACTAATCTAAACATATTAGATTAGATTGTAAAGAAAACTTATATGTTACTTGTTACTAAATTCTAGGCACATAGCTAACATGATAGAAATCATTTCCTCCAAGTTCTTTGTAAGTAATACAAATTGAAGTTATTTCAATTGAATTAGTATGTTCCCCCAATTGGATTTCAGACTAAGAACCCAACTCATGACTGGAGTATTACTGAAGAGGTAGTAGTGATGCTTAAATTTGAAGGTAACTGTAAAAATTGAATTTATCAAGATCTACCAGATGTGTATCCGCCATTCCAGACTCCAACAGCTCTTCACGGGCAGCTTGATTAGCGTTTGGTGATGTAAACCTCTTGAATTCCTTTTTCAGTTTCCCAAGATCAGCTTTGTACTCCCGTAGCTTAGCAAGTAGCATAGCCTTTACCCCTGGCTGCAAACTTCTGGCCTCAAGGTCCATTTTCCTGATCTAGAAATCGTAAAAGATACCAACATTCTATTCATATAATTAAGAATCTAACCAACCTAAAAAACAGAAGAAAAGAACCAAAAGAAGGCTCTTCAAACGTACCAAAACATCGGCCTCATCTAAACTAACTTTGATTTCCGAAAGCCATTGCTGTTTCTGCTCTGCAATTCATGTTAAGCTAAAATTAGCAACCCTTCCAATCGCTCACCTCAAAAAAGAAGAGTCTCTTTAACATTCATTCAAACGATGAACAACTCAACTTCCTATTCAGTTCATTTCCAAAATGAAATCCAATTCAGCATATGCAAGTCATTTTACAACCAAACTCTAACGAATTAGTAAGAAACGCTAAAATTTCCCATATGCGTAATTCGATCCCATCAGCTACAAATTCCTCATCCCATGTTCACATCCCTTCATTCATCTCCAAAGATTTCGAAACTTCAGAATCTGCTCATTCAACTCGAGATCTCCAACCACAATTTCAAGAATTCTCTTCCAAACTCTAACAACAGAAACAAATCTCTTCCTTCAAATTAGGAACGAAACATAGAAAATCGTAGCTGTAAAAGCCTAGGTTAACCCTCACATAAGTCAAATTGAACAAAGAAAACACTCCGAAAGTACCTGAATCGGAGGCGGAGAAAGAGTTGTATTTCCGAGAAACATTCGCGGAGAGTTCACAATACTGGCGCTCGTACCCTTCGAAAACCTCACTCATCTTGAATAAAATCTCACGAAAGACTGAGAAAAGTTCACGTTGACCTTCTGGCGACTCCTTCGCTCAAAATTTTCCAGCAAAACTCGGCAGATCGGAAATCGGAAGTTTCAGAGGCTGAGCCAATTTCGGAAAGCGGAAACGGATGAGAAGTTTGTTTGTGAAGTGTAGACACCTAAAGTAATTGCCGACAACGACGATATGCCTTCCTGCCTGCCCTATATTTTTCTAAAACCAAAAATGAATATTAATTTTTCCAACCATATTTTCAAGCGTAATTCATATCTAATTATTTTCTTAAAATGAGAAATTCAAATTTAATGGGTAAATATTGTTACGATTTAGAATTTTTAGATTAGAATTTCAAATTAAGTTCTGGGCGTAGGCAGAAATGACTAAGTTACATGTGGAATATGGCGACAACATGTCCTAGAAGGAGATAACAGGTGGAGCCAACAACCCACTCTGAGCGGCTATCGAACAAAGCATGAATGTAAGATGCCAACAGAATGATCGATCGGACAGAAACTTGATTTGCTTTCTTCCCACCGCATCCTTCCTTGTGTGTCGGAGATATAAAGTGAGTACACCGAATCAAAAGTTTGATTCCTTAGACGCTCAGAGATAGAATTAGAAACATTAAACTTACATCCAATTTTTTTTATTAAAAATAAATAAAATTAAGTGTAGGTTGATGGTTAAGTCATTTCCTTGCTGACCTCCTAAAAGAATATTTTAACACAGGAAAATATAAACAAAGTGATCATATCAAAAGAGAAATAATAAGTGTTATCCCTTGTGTTAGGCTTAGTAACATCTCTTCTCAAGCTTGCTTACAAATGTGATATTCCAACATGATGAACAAAGTCAAAATGGTAATCTAATCCCTACCTGTCCTAGACTGATTCTAACACCATAAAAAGTAAGATGTTGACTGTAAACCCTGGTTTATGAATAAACAAAACACTCTTACCCCAATTTAAAAGTAACTTGTCGATAGCTCGATGGATAAAATACTTTTCAATCTCCCAAGAGGGGAAAAATAGACAAAAAAAAAACACAATGATCTGATACAAAATGTCAATAATTAATAACGATGGTTCCTCATCTCAATCCAACCATGTTTCCCCCTCCAATTCAATTCCTGCCATTTATCCAAAGAAACATACTACTACATAACATACCATGTGGCTACTAGCAAACTTGTTGATTCTGTACATTACTCAGCAAGGTAATACAAAATAATAGGTACATGCTTCATTCAAAGATGAATGATAATATGCCTCCAGAATTCAGAATGTCTGACAAAAAAAGCAAAAAAGACAAGATTGAAATCTATGGCTACTTGTACCGTACGTATAACAACACTAACAAACAGCATGGTTTAGAATGAACCAATTTAACTCGGGGAACTCCGTGATCAGGAATTGCAAAGAGAAGAAACGCTTTTCCGGAAAAGACGAAAGCCCAAAAGATCATTAAGCATACCTGGGGTCTGGAACACGCATTCACTGCATTATCTCCCTCTAATTGTACAGATCTGTAACAAAGCAAGCTCCAGGTATAGATATGAAATGCCCTAGGATCCGTTCTGTAAATTTAAGATTATCTGGATTGATAGACTAATTCTAGACAAAAAAAAAATTTAATCCTGGTGGTCAAGGTATATGCAGCGACATCCCTAGCAGAAAGAGCTTGAGATTTTCAACTGAATGATCCTACCCTCCAGTTCCGACACTGTCAGGCGCTACCTTTTCAGTTGAAGAAGAGTTTGATTCACTGGAAGTTTGGCCACCTTTTTCACCCTGACCAAGTAAGCGGTCGGAATCTTGATCGGGGAAAACTTCTGATTGCAACGAGGGAGAAATGTTATTTACATGCAGCCATGTGAGTTCCCACAAGCTATCTCCACCGAGCGCACTCCTCTGAACTAGCACCCCCTTAGTTTTCATAACAAGCAGGGTATTCTTGAGGAGTTCAGGCACTAGCTCCTGAAGCTTCTCACTTCTTTTCCCTCTAACTTTAGCTTTTGCATACTTTTCCATTCGGCTAAGAACGCCAAGCCATAGCTTGCAGAAGGTTGTTAACTGAGAAAGATCCTGGAGTAACAGTAGAAACACTTTGGACAAGAGTTTCATGGCAAGGATCAACGTCCCCTCCATGTTTCTGTAATCTTTCTGAGAGTGTCCTTGTGCAATTTCCAATAAATCGTCAAGCATTGTGAAGATCACAAGATCAAAACACTGTAACCACAAACCATGTGGAAGGTAAACTTCGTCAACACCTGTCAAGCACTTTTGCAATGACAGTAGAGCCTGGTTTCTAACCTCCTCTCTCTGATCCAAGCAAACTTTTCTCAGTCCTTGCACAAGCCTCAGCCACATGTCCCCAATATCTTGCGACATCTTAATGGCTTCCTCCTCCCTTGCAGCTTCCTTACCCTCCCTAGCCCATCGTGCTAAACAATCAACAGATCCAGCCATAAGATCCAATGCTCGCAAAGAGCGTTCAGCCTGTCCAACACGAGACTCAGCAAATTGCCTAGAAGCATCAATGCAGAGGGTATAGTTTGCCGGTAACAAGTGAGCACCATCGGATACAATAAATAGTAGAGCATCAAATCCTGCCTCAGAAGCCTCTGGATGGCGAGCTGTAATGGAGAGTAAGGATGTTATTGTTCGCCATCCAGATGGGGATCTAATATGAGAAGCATTTGCTTTCACTAGACGACTGACTTCCTGTGTAATTTGCTCACAGTAAGCATCAGCGACCCGAGCATCTAGCTTCAAGACAAGTTGCAGAGATCTCAAAAGTTCATCAGCAAGGTTCTCTTTATAAGGAAGTAACCGCTGGCAAATCCGGAGAAGTCCAAAAACAGCTTTCTCCACCAGGGCGCAGGGCATGACAGTTGATTGCACAATATTAGATATATGATCATAAACACCAGGCCACAAAAGCACAATTCTATCTCGGTTATTCAGGGTAATGGCAATCAACAATTCCAGACAGAAGACTGCTGTATCTTCATCCTCAGGAGAGCTGCTTCCTTTCTGGGGTCGTCCTGCAGCCCATATAAGTGCTTGTGCCAGCTGTAATAGAGATTCAGCCTGAAGAAACTTGCTCTCTGTAAAAATGCTGTCAATATTGCACTTTTGAATAGTCTGAAGGGTGCGCTGATGAGCTGCAAGTTGTTGTTCGGTAGGCTGTGATCTTGGCTCCTCAGTGTCAAGAGATAAGAGCTGACTGAACCGGCCCATCAATCCAGAAGATCTCTTGGGAGTTCCAATTGACTGTATATGAGCAGCTGATAAAGAACTCGTAAGAGGCTTTCCATGCCCAGTGTCAGCAGAAAGTTCTGATTCATCAGCTGCATCACTGGCCACACGAGCTGGTAAAAGACCAAGCTTGTGCAACCGTAAGATGCAATCAAGGATGTTTCTCCAACCTGTACGAATGAAGTCACCATACCTGTTTTTTTTTTTTTTAATCGGAAACAAAGCTTTCATTAGAGAAATGAAAGAACATAAAAGGGCAATGCAAAAAAATAATAATAATTATTAATTAAAAAAAATTAAAAATTAAAAAATTAAAAATTAAAAAGACCACCCTCGCTTTTGTATAATAAAAAGACCACCAAAGAAACCCCAAAGCTAATTATAAGGAAGGAAAAGAAAAAAAAAATAAAGTCACTGTACCTGTTGGCAATGGTGAACACTGTCATAGTAGCCATCCTCGCTTTTGTATCATCACCGAAGGCCAGCACGGGCTCCTCAACAGATGATGGGTTCAAGAGGGTTGTGAACTTGCAGAGGGACACAACAAGATCATCAAGTACGTCTTCAAGATGATGGCATGCAGAGATCTTTGCAACAGCTAAGAACCCATCAATGCATGTTTGATAGACTTCTTCATGTTCTGCATGATCAAATACCACAGATATAGCAGCAATTGTTGGCCCTGACATTATAGCAAACATATCACGATCAAGGTAGGCTTTAGAATCAGACACAATGAATGGAGAGGATTTCTTGGATTTATGCATCAGGTCTATCCATCGACTCGGGTTCATTTCCGGAAAACCATTGCCTTGCTCTGGAGTTGTACGAATCTCATTCTTACAGATTGAATGATACAACTCAGAGAGGAAATCTCTCGGAAGATCATTGCCTCCATTTATGTGCCTGCTGTTCCGAATGAAATCTTCTTCCGTCATCTTCTTTTTCACTTGAACATTGTGCTGATCCGTATTGAGCATTATAAGTGAATATGAGAGTAGAAGAGCAGCATCCTTATTCACAAGAATTTGAGGTGACTGTTCATAATATCTCTCCGAGAATGCCTCAAGCACCCTTTGTATCTTCTGTGACTCTCCAGGGAGTCGGAAAGTTTCCAAAAACAGCCGCAAAGCAGTATCCAAATTCATGTCCTGAAAATCAAAAGTCCAAGCAAATTCATGAAGAACCTGGACACAAAACTCATCATGATTTCCAAGGAAGTCCCCAACCAGATTTTTATCCAGACCAGCAGTGTACCTAAAAAAGCAGGCTACACTTTTCGGATCAAGTTTATCAGGCAAGAGATGGGTTCCTTGAAGGAATTCGAGTCCTTTCTTGGGATCTCGGTTAAAGTGATCAGCTCCAATCATCAAACGTCTCTTGATGTACTTTTTCCTTCTCACAAATGGAACCCATTGATTAGGATCGCTGTAATTTTCACACTTTACCAGCCAGAAAGGAGTATATTCCTCAAGGTTCACAGGAGTATTTTCTAGGCCAGTTCCATTACCTATCCTCTCAGCCATTCCCTGAATAACGGCAATAAGACCATCCAACGCAAGGATATGCATTGAGGACAAAGGACAATTAACTGGAAAAGCACTCTTGGACAGAAGATTAGCAAGATCTTCAAAGACATTACTGCAAGTTATGTCACAATCTAAGTTTGCATACATCTCGACCATAAATGTTTTCTGCCTGCAGAAATCAACAAGAACCTCCATGGCAACCTCCTGCTGCTGGTATGAAGCCCCATACCTGCTTTGAGCAAGCCTCAAAATCACACATGAAAAGAAAGCCTCAAGCTGCAACTTCAGCTCAGTTCGCAGATGGTGATATAGATTGAGAACAATGCTACAAACCATTGAAAGGATCAGCGAGCTTGTTGACAGACCAAATTGCATAAGGTTTCGAAATAATTCATCTTGGATTAAACTCAATAACC